CCTGCGTTCATTCCAGAGGACCAGGGAGGGATATTTTGGAGAGCATATACATGGGCTGGTCTCCTCTTCCTCCTCCTCTGCCACATCCCCATTTCACTCTTAGATCAGAAATTATAACTGTAATTAGTCTCCTAACTTTCCCGTTGTCCAGGAAAGAAGAGACAGAAGTTGGAGGGGTAAACTCCAGAGTAGGAAGGCTGCAGTGTGAATGCCCTCAAACATTTCCAGTTTTTCTACTCCAATGCCATGGAGTAAAAGCTGCATGGTTAGCGGCCTCCTGTAAATACAAAGCATTCTTCTCCATAATTCATTAATTGTTTCCTTATTAGATGCCACTCACGGTGCTAGGTGTTTGGAATATGAGAAAGAATAAAAGGAAGGTCTCTGTCTTCAAAGAATCTGCAGTCTAGAGAGGGAGAGAAAATAAGAGGAACACCAGTAGAGCAAGGGCTAAGAACACAGAGAGGGAACTAGGGAAGCAGAGAAAAGGAGAACTTGGATGGAGGTTTGGGGGGAAGGTGTCCCTAGGAGAGAACATGGTTGGAAGTGTGACTATCTTAAATAGAAAACCACTGACCTCAGAGTCAGAGTTCCTGTATTGCAAAGTCCTTGAAGTATGTTTCAAAGGGTACCACCAGTTTGAGGGCTTTGCCTCTAAAAATAGGACATTGGGATTTCCCAAGAGCAGCAAGAAGAACTCACAAGGGGAGAATGTGATTGCATAAGGCTGACAAGGGGAAGGAGGCTGATCTCCCCACTTGCCTGGAAGGCTGGGCCTTAAACGTCGTGGTAGGGCACTGAGCCAGCATTCCAATGTAGTCTGAAGTTGAGTTTGGCTAATCTATGACAAAAAGCTTACCAAGCAGAAGGGCAGGGGGAAAATATTTCAGCAAAAATATTTAACCCACTGAAAATAATTTATACTTGTGTACAAACAACCTGCTGATTAAAAATGATTCTTAACTACTCATTAAAAGGAGGCCCACCCTTTGGGACCTATACTTTGCAACACTTAGGTACTATTTAATGGGAGTTACAGTATAAGCAGAATATTAAAAGGATGCATTTCTTTACACGCTATAATTTTACTTTTGACTAACTCCAACTTTCTCTGTGCTCAATTAGTCTGACTTAGTGAAGTTTTGTCGTGTACAAGCTGTGAAGTCCTGACTTGTCTCTCAACTCGCCAGCAAGAAGTAGCAGGATCAGTAAATTCTCAAGATTTTAAAAAGCTCAAAACTGTAGCCCATCTTCTCCTTTACTAATTTTAAATGACTGTAAGCCATTGGGAAAACAATACTTAGCACCAAAAATATAATCTATATTCTTCTTTTTTAATGAAAAAGGTTTTTTAATGTTTATTTATTTTTGAAAGACAGAGCACAAGCGGTGGGAGGGGCAGAGTGAGAGGAAGACACAGAATCTGAAGCAGGCTCTAGGCACTGAGCTGTTAGCAGAGAGCCCTGCGTGGGGCTCAAACCCATGAACTGTGAGATCATGACCTGGGCCAAAGTCGGATGCTTAACCAACTGAGCCACCCACGCACCCCATAATCTATATCCTTCTTGACCATAGCTGATGTGACTGAGAATCAAATTTGAGTTTGTGGTCTCTGTCTTCTGAATTCTTGAAGTATGACACATAACAAAATTGGGTTCAACACTATAAAAGGGATTTTCAAAGCCTGGAGACCTATTAAGAATTCCCATAACCAGGGACATTTCTTGAGGTTGGTGGGAGAGAGAAAGGTGTTTTCATCTTCTGGTAAACTTTTAACTAGGAAGCTCAAGTTTCACTTTTTTATTTTGACAGGGGGTGAAAATGTGGGCAAGGGAGAATTTCCATATGTAAGGATACAAGGAAGAATGAATGTTATGATCAGAAGTGCAAACCTTAGATGAAGAAATACAGAAGGACCACTTTGTGGGTCCCTTAATACCTGCTACTCAAGCAACAAGAATGATAAGTGTTCTTAAGTTACACATTTCTTCTCTGCATGTGAGAAGAAAATGCCACTTCTGAAATGCTAAATTAATCTGTGGTTTGAGACAAACAAAGTTGCATAATGGTCCCTGCTTTGCCAGATATATCCTGACCATGTGTGTCAGTTTTCTTATCAATAAAAATGAAAATCACTGCTTTTTATAAGTTAGTTTATCAGGATTAAATGGACTCACATATGAGATAGTACATAAGCACTCAATAAATTTCTGCTCGTTGTTTTTGCTGAATTATTCTTTGCTTCCATTTTTAATTTTGCCTTGCTATTTGATATTTACTGTTATTTATTATTTTTTTTTTATCAGAGTAAAGTCAGGAGGGTTAAACAATCATTCTGAAGATGAAAAAAGTTATTTTCTAGGCCAGATTCAATTACTGAGTATCTATCATGTTCTATACAGTGGGGACTCAGCAATTAAGAAGCCCTCAGCAGAAAAAAAGCCCTTCCCCCACAAGCTTCTACTGCAGTGGAAACAGATAGAAACAAATACAGTAAATAAGAAAAATATGCAAAATGTTAGAGGGTAGAAAGTGCTAGAGAGAAAAATCAAGAGAAGGATAGGGAATCCTTAGGAAAGGCAGAGGACAGTTCATTTTGTGGGTTCAGGAAGGTCTCATTAGGAAGGGGACATGAGGGGCACCTGGGTGGCTCAGATGGGTAAGCGTCCAACTTAGGCTCAGGTCATGATCTCATGGTTCGTGGGTTCAAGCCCGGCATCAGGCTCTGTGCTGACAGCCAGCTCAGAACCTGGAGCTGTTTCGGATTCTATGTCTCCCTCTCTCTCTGAACCTCCTCTGCTCACGCGGTCTCTCTCTCTCTCTCTCAGAAATAAATAAAACATTAAAAAAATATTTAAAAAAAAAAAAGGAAGGGGACATGAGAGTACAGGGAGTGAGTCATGTACAGATCTGAGGAAGCCCTTCCAGGCACAAGGGATGCCAGCTGCAGGGTCTCTGAGATGGGAGAGACCTTGGTGTGTCTAAGGAGCAAAGAGGCCAGTGGGCCAGAGCGGAGCTAAAAGGAAGCATGTCAAGGAAATAAAGGAACTATGGCCGGGCGGGCGGGTCACACTGGGCCTTGGAGGCTTTTTTTTCCTATGTGAGATGGAGAGCCACCAGAGGAATGTGAACAGGAAGTGACAATGGAGCGATTGTTTTAACAGAACACCCTGCCATATGCAGACAATGAAGTGAGAGAGCGCAAGGGTGGAGGCAGGGAGGTGAGCAGGGAGGGACCTAACATAGCCTAAGATGAGGTCTGGTGGCCTGGACTAGGCAGCATGGTTGGAGGTGCTGCTGTCTGTGACTTCCAGATGATGTAAGGCTGACAGGGTGTGTTGATAGATTGGATACAGAGTACAGAGAAAAAGAAGAGTCAAGGTTAATGCTGAGACTTCTGATAAGTGCAACTGGAAGGATGGAAATGTCATCAAATAAGATCATAAAGACTAGAAAAAGCAGGTTTGGGAGGCTGACATCAGGAGCTAGTCTTGGACATATTATACATGAGGCTCATGTTAGACATCCATACAGGAGTGTTGAGTCGGCAGATGGAGATGTGAATATGGACTTTAGGGAAGAGGTCCAGATTGGATGCATTGATGATTATCAATTTAAGATGCCTTAAGCCATTGGTGCATGGAGCTCACAAAAGAGTGGGTGTAAATGCAGAGAAGAGAACCAGAACCAAGCTTGGGGCATGCCAGTGTTGAGAGGTCAGGGAGAAGGAGTAAAGGCAACTGAGAATAAGTGACCACTAAGAGAGAGGATGGTGTCTTAGATGCCAAGTAAAGAAAACATTTCAAGAAGGGACTGAGTAATTGTGAACTGTGTCAAATGCTATTTATAGGTTAGGAAGATAGCCAAAAACTGACCAAACTGGATACTCCAAAATCTTCAAGAAAAAAAAAAAAAGTATTTTAAGCCAGTTTTTAATGCAAAACAATTTTTAAATTCAGTTTTCAATGTTTTCATAAGGCCTTACCATTAAACACGAGAGCTTGCACATGTATTTATCTCTTCCTAAATCTCACTAAAATGACACAAAAGATAAGAAAGCTCTAACACCCAAGAACAAAGAGACAATATAGGTCAGGATGTGTCTCCTTCCCGCTCCCTTAAACTCTAAACATTTCCTGGAATCTACTCAAAGATGAATTTTCCAGCTAAGTCTTCAGGCATTCCAGAAGAATGGAAGCCGCAGAGATAGCAAAGAAAAGCCAGAAACCTCCCAGGACTATAGCAGATATGTAAGGAGATGACAAGCCTGGGGAGTGACAAGAATAAGTACATAAAAAGTAAAGTAAAAATAAAGACAAAGCACTACATTTAAACGACAAACTTCAAAATAAAAAGTACTTGTAATCTATTTTCATTATTATAAAACAGCAGAGAATGCCAGACTTCTTCTGCCCAATGCCTACCTGTGGCCAGGCAGGGCATCAACATTCACCAATGGTTTCTCAAGCCCTGGCCTTTCCTTATCTGTACTCCTTCTCAAGAATACACGCCAGGGGCACAAACTGGGCTTTTCCATCACTCCAAACTGCCTCCTCTCCAAAATCACAACGCTCAAACATTGCAATCTCAGACAGGAGATTAGGCATGTCAACGTAAATGGAAACAGTGGGGATCTCAAAGAGCCAGGGGTCAACAAGGTCAGACTCAGAAAGAGATTCAAGGCAGAATAAAGGGGGATAGGGTTACAGAAAAGTGTCTGAAGACACATAAATGCCTAATTCAAATAAATGCCTCTTTGAAGAAAGTAGTAAATATATTTTTTAATGTTTATTTATTTTTGAGAGTGAGAGAGAGAGAGAAAAAGAGAGCATGAGTGGGGGAGAGGCAGAGAGAGGGGAAGACACAGAATCTGAAGCAGGCTCCAGGCTCCAAGCTGTCAGCACAGAGCCTGACATGGGGCTCGAACCCACAGACCATGAGATCATGACCTGAGCTGAAGTCAGATGCTCAACCAACTAGAGCCATCCAGGTGCCCCAAAATTAGTAAATATTTTTTGAGTACATACTAGATGCAAAGCAACATGGTACAAAATGCTATGTGTCTTAGTTACCTACTGCTACATAATAAAATGTAGTAACTTAAAACAACAAGCATTTATTATTTCACACAGGTCAGGAATCCAGGAGCAATTTAGCTGAGTGGTTCTGGCTCAGGGCTCACATGAGGCTGCCGTCAAGATGTTGACCAGGAATGCAGTCATCTGCTTGACTGGGCTGGAGGATTCACTTTCAAGGTGGCTCACTCACATGGCTGTTGTCTGGAGTACCTCAATTGCTCACCACAGAGACTGTTCCATAGGGCTCCTTGAATGCCCTCAGCACAAGGCAGCTGGCTTCCCTCAGAGCAGCTGATGGGGCAGAAGACAAGGAGAAAGCCACAGTACTGTGTATGACCAGGTCTATAGTATATACCATCACTTCTGCCTTAGTCTATTCATTAGGAGCCAGTCACTAAGCCCAGCACACATAGAAGGGGAAGGAATTAAGCTTACTTCCTGAAGGGAAGAAGATCAAAGATTTTTCAAACCATCACGTTGCATACCTGGTTCCACAGGAATGATACTATAGTACACTGTTAAAATAAGCACACATGTAAATCAGTATAACACAAATTGGAATGTGGCAAATATAAGAAAAGTAGACATGCCATTGTAGACTTTATGACGAAAATTATAATTTAGCCAAGGATCAAACCTATCAGATGTTCCTCAAAACCTACTCAAGACATTAAGTCTAAGAGACTCCACTTGATAAAATCTAAAGTTTTATTTTGGTTCTTTTTTTTTAATTTTTTATGTCTTATTTATTTTTGAGAGAGAGATAAAAGACAGCATGAGCAGGGGAGGGTCAGAGAGAGAGGGAGACACAGAATCCAAAGACAGGTTCCAGGCTCTGAGCTGGTTGTGTGTGAGCACAGAACCTGACGCAGGGCTCAAATCCACAAACTGTGAGATCATGACCTGAGCCGAAGTCAGATGCTTAACCTGAGCCACAGAGGTGTCCCTATTTTGGTTCTATTTTTTAAAAATTTATTTATAGGGGGGCGCCTGGGTGGCTTAGTCAGTTAAGCGTCCAACTTTCTCTTAGGTCATGATCTCGCGGTTCGTGGGTTCGAGCCCCGCGTCGGGCTCTGTGCTGGCTGCCAACTCAGAGCCTAGGGCCTATTTTGGAGTCTGTGTCTCCCTCTCTCTCTGACCCTCCTCTGCTCACGCTGTCTCTCTCTCTTAGAAATAAATAAAAATATTTTTTAAAAAAATTTATTTATAGGATCACATTTCACAATTGCACTATTATTTAGAAGCCTTTTTACAGATGATTTAAGTCACCCAGTTTATTAAAGTTATTTACTGTAATATAAAAAAAGATGTTAAAATAATAAAGCACCACCAGTTCTCTACGTGTAAGAAAACTGTTAAAAGTAATCTTTTAGAAGAATAGCTGCTATATTACCTATGCTGGAAAGTTCCATTTTTAAATTTGTTTCTAGTTGACTTCCTCTGTGACCCCATAAAAGCAGTCTAAATAGATAATTAGTAATCGCTAGAACTTCAGTTCCCAATATCTTAAGATATGCTTAACATAATGTAAATTTAAATATAAATGTCAGTATCCACCAAACAACAGAGCCTCAAAACGCAAGAAGCAAAAGCCGAGGAAGCTTAAAAGAGAAAACTGGTAAGTCCTCATTTATAATTAAGGACTGCAGTCCCCCTCTCAGCAACTGAGGACTACTGGATAAAAAAATCATCCAGGGATAGAGAAGATCTGAGCAATACAACCTAATAGGATCTTACTGACATATACAGTACACTAACCCAATCTCAGTAAAATATAAATTATTTTTAAGCACTCATGGAACACTCATCAGATGAGACCCTATGTTGGACCATAAACCATGCTGCAAAATTTAAAGTAAGTGTCATCACACAAGTGTGTTCGCGATCATAGTGAAATCAAACAAGAAAATAATAATCACGTGGAAATAAAACATTTCTAAATAATCAACATGTCAAAAAAAATACCTCAAAGGAAATTTTAAAATACATAAAACTAAATGAAAATGAAAGCACAACATATCAAACACGTGGGACACAGTTACAGCAGTAGCTGAGAGGCAAATGTACAGCACTAAAAATGCTTATATGAAGAATGCAAAAACATCTCAAATCAATAACCTAACTTCCTACCTCAAGAAACTAGGGGGGGAAAAGAGTAAAATCAGCACAAAGCAAGCAAAAGGAAGTAATAAAGATAAGAACAGAAATTAATAAAATTGAAAATAGAAAAACAAAAGAAGAAAGCAAAAAAACAAAAGGCTGGTTCAATGTGAGGGTGGTGGGAAGAAGGTTCAATAAAACTGATAATCTTCTGGCAAGACTGACAAAAATAAGAAGAAAACAAAAAATTATCATAAATGAAAAAAGCAGTACCATTACAGATCCCACAGTCATTAAGAAGATAATAAGGGAAGACGATGAATAACTTTATACTCAGAAATCTGATAATTCAGAAGAAATGGACCGACACCTAAAAAACCACAAGTTATCAAAACTCCATGAAAATGAAATAGTTAATCTGAATAGCCTATCACCATTTTTAAAAAATTGAGTATCTAATTTAAAAGCTTCCAAAAGATAAATCTACAGGGCCAGAAGGATTCACTGCAGACTTCTACCAAACACCTAAGGAAGAATTACCGCTAGTCAAAATCCCTGCAAGGCTTCTGTATATATAAACAAAACTATTCTAGGGCACCTGGGTGGCTTAGTCGGTTAAGCACCTGACTCTCGACCTCAGCTCAGGTCTTGATCTCAGGGTCATGAGTTCAAGCCCCATATTGGGCTCTTGGGCATAAGTCTACTTAAAATAAACAAAATTTTTCTAAAGAATACATGGAAAGGCAAAGGAATTAGAAGAGCTAGATCAACTCTGAAAAACAAAAGAGAATAAAATGGGATGTATCAGTCTATGAGATTTCAAGACCTATTTTATAGATACACTAATCAAAACTGTGGTATTAGCAAAGATGAGTGGAATCCAGAATTAGACCCACACACATATGCCTAATTCATTTTTGACAAAGCAGCAAAGGCAATTAAATGAAAGAGGGATAGCTTTTCGAACAAATAGAGCTAGAGCAAGTGGATATCCATCAGCAAAAAAATGACATAAACCTCATACCTGACACAAAAATTAATTCAAAGCAGATCAGACACTTAATGTAAAACTATTAAATCTTTAGAGGAAAAAAGGAGAAAATCTTTAGGATCTAAGGGTAAGAAAGGATTTTTTAGATCTGACACCAAAGGGATAATTCACCAAAAGAAATACTGATAAATTGGGACAATATCAAAATTAAAAAATTTTGCTCTGCCTAAGGCCCTGTTAAGAGGATGAAAAGACAAGCTACAGACTGTAAGAAAATATCTGCAAACCACTTAATTGACAAAAGCTTAGAATATATAACATACTCTTCAAAGTCGATAGTAAAAAACCAAACAATCCAAGTTAAAAATGGGCAAAAAACAGACATTTCATTGAAGGTGATATTCAGACGGCTAATAGGCATATGAAAAGATGTTCAACATCATTAGACTTCAGAGAAATGCAAATTAAAACCACAATGAGCTATCACTGCAAATCTATCAGTTATATACCTATTTGGTGACAACATCAAATGTTAGTAAGGATGTGGGAAAACTGGATCACTCATACATTGCTGCTAGAAATGTGATATGGTAGAGATACTTTTGGCAGTTTTTTATAAAATGAAACGTGCAATTACCAGACCCAGCAATTACACTCTTGGGCATTTATCCCAGTGAAATGAAAATTCATATTCACACAAAAATCTGTATACAAATGTTCACAGTAGTTTTATTATAATAGCCCCAAAATCAGAATCAGCCCAAATTTTTCTCAACAGGTGAGTTAAAAACAAAACAAAACAAAAAACCCAACTGTGAGCTATCCATACCATGGAATATTATTCAGTAATAAAAAGGAGCAAAAAATTGATATAAGCAACAACCTGGATGGATCTCCAGGAAATTACATTGAGTGAAATAAGCCCATTCCAAAAGGTTCGTTCTGTACTGAATGCTTGATTCTGGGTTTTTTTTGAATTTTTAAAAAATGTTTTATTTATTTCTGAGAGAGAGACAGCATGAATGGGGGAGGGTCAGAGAGAGAGGGAGACACAGAATCCAAAACAAGCTCCAGGCTCTGAGCTAGCTGTCAGCACAGAACCTGACGTGGGGCTCGATCCTACAAACCACAAGATCATGACCTGAGCCGAAGTCGGATGCTTAACCGACTGAGCCACCCAGGTGCCCCTGATTCTGTTTATATAACATTTTGAAATGATAAAATTTTAGAGACAGAGGACAGATTAGCCGGATGTGTTAGGGGAAGGCAGAAGACTGCATGTGGTTATAAAAGGCAACATGAGAGATTCCTGGAGTATTTTTTTAGAGAAAAATATATAAAGGTTAGATAAGGAGAAATACACACTTTAAAGGCTCTATTCTCCCTCCACCCCCACCCTGCCATGAGCTTCACAATGAACACAATGGCCACACTATCAAAACTAAGGAAGAACTGGTACCCTGTGGTTACTTACCAATATATGGAAACTAAAATAAATACAAGTATGTTTTAAAAAAATTCAAAGCTCTATGCTCTATAAAATGTTAATTTTACAAGGTCACTAAATGTGTTTATTTTCAGGATCATGAAAGCAATTTCCTTAGATCAAAACCCAAACCTTCTGAGATGAATATCCTCTGTGGAGAATGACTTACATAATGTTGTTCTGCATTACATAATAATGAAATAATAGGGGGTTTCTTTCACCAGAGAGACGCACAACACATCATGGGAGCAACAGTATATCTGCATTTCTACCAGATGGTCCCTGTACCTTCACTACATCACCACTAGATTTCCATGAATCGTGTTTAAGAAAATCAGTAGGTCACAGCACTTTTACTCAGTTTTAGAATACATGGAAAAATGACAAGGGCATTCTCTTGCCATGCTGTTTTCAAAGGAAATCACATAATTACTTGGAAAATACACATTTAACCAAATTAAAACCACGTGCAAAGTGTAACCTTTTATATACATATAAAAAATATAGAAAGACAAATATATAGAGAGAAGTATCGAAAATTACAAAAAAGAGAGAGCCTACTGGCAATTAAAGGATGGCTTCTGTAGTAGGGTGCATGGTGTTCCTCAACAAGACACGGCTACATCCTAACCTCCAGCACCTGTGAATATGACCTTATGTGGAAAGTGTCTTTACAGATGTAAGTCAAGGATTAAGATAGAGACCAGCCTAGATGATCCCAGGGGGCCCTAAATCCAATGACAACTGTCCCTATAATAATGAGGCACAGAGAGATCTGACAGAGACACATAAGAGGAGAAAGGGAGGTGAAGACAAAGGCAAAGACTGAAAGGTCCCCAGCGAGCAATGCCCAGGAATGCTGGACAGCCACCAAAAACTGGAAGACCGTGATCAGATTCTCCCCTGCATCTCTTGGAGGGAGTATAGATGAATTTTGG